GTTATTCCATGTTTTTAGTGGCCACCCTGTGTTATGCCCTGGTCACCCCCTGGTGGCACCACTGTTGACAATAAAAAAAGAACCCCACTAAAAACATGGAATAACTACTGAAATTCTCATGCACATTAAAAACATAACTGTTGCCCATTAATTATATGAACCATACCATTATTGGTTTGCAGCAGCCTCATTTCATATGATGGTAATATAGACTGAAGAGTAAACATGTTCAGGATGTCTAGACAGGTCTAGATATGTGTAGAACAAAAGTAAATGAAAGATGTATTCTGTTTATAAAACATTCAGCCCTTCTTAAGCATCATAGAGTGTTTCACATTTTTCTCATTAGGTTAATAGAGGTCTGTGAATGTATTGTTTCTGCTTGGGCTGGTTTTCCTCTCCAAAAAAAGGCAGGAAAAGAAGAGTATGTCACAGCATTTGTCAGAAAGAAGAGGAAAATAATACATGAATCAAACTTTGACTGACAAATAAAAGTGCAGAGTCCTAGTAAAAACAGATTTCGAGGTCCTGAGAACAAAGCTGTGACTAATGCACAGAAGACAAAACAAAGATGACAGGTAATTTAGTTAAATAGTGTCCAGGCTAGGGAAGAAAAGAGAAGGAATTGAAGCTGCTGGATTCTGACTTGAGACAAAGATCTTTGCTTATACATTTAACTAAATCTGTATTAGAATGTTTATCTTTCTTATGTATTGCTTTAAACAAAATAAATACATATTATCATGCACGTTGTTTGAACAAAGTCCAACGAAAGTCTACCTAAAAAGGAAAAACTATGAGAGCAAATCCAGATTTGGGAAACCAATGAACATCCATACACATCTAAAGTAATGCAGAACTAATTATTATTTTGGGAATAACACATCTAAATTGACATTAACCATATATCTGATATCAATTAAAGAGGTATGATGCACATATAAATTTTTCTTTAAAGTCTTTGTTAACAATCCAATTTTGTCTTTACCCTTTCAGATTTGTATTTTCGGTCATTTAAAGGAAATTTCATAAGTCAACTTGAAACAACCTCCAGACGTCTCTTAACAGTAAATTTCCTCTCCTGAGATAATCATGATCATTATCTCCTAACAACTCATCAATTCATTTTCATCTCTTGCATTGCTCCAACTGTCCCAGTGAGGTGAAATTTGCAGAGTTGACAAGATGATGTCGAGATAATCACAACAGGGACCTCGCGTGACTGTCTTTCTAATTAAGATTCTGTCTCTCGCTGTAGGCTCTGATTTATACTTTCTACTGTTCTCTGCACAGCCCATTTTGTAACGGATGCATAATCTACCAACAGGGGATGTGGTGATTTATAGTTTTGTAGGAAAAGCTTTTAGAAGGCTTGCAGGAGGCACCTGCATCTACAAGTCATTTGCATGTGATATAGGTGAGGGCGTGTTACATTGTGATCAGAAGAGGTATTAAAAAGTGAAAGAAGGTGGATGGTTTATGTCATTAAATTATGTTCCATTGTGACAATGCATAAGCAATATATATGTATTAATGCTAATATTTCTTTTTTTTTTGTGATTAGTCTTTTAGTTTTGTATTTTGTTTCACTTTATTTGTTTCATAGTAACATAAAATGATGATAAAATGAAAAAAGATTTCATTAAAAACATGCAATGATTAATTTTTTATAGTAAAACTTTAAAATGTAACTTTTTATTTATTTGGCAAAAAGTAATAATCTTTTATCAGTATGCAAAATTCCAAAATAATGGCAAAGAATATTTTTTTATGCTTTCTTTTCACTCATATACAGTAGTACCTTCCTTCATATTCAATAAATTTGAATATTTTATCTGATTTGGCTCATTGTGTCAGATTTAAAAACCTTTTTGGAAAAAAAATAAATAAATTCAAGCAGGCAAAAACATGCTTCTGTTCATTTTTTATTACCTCTGCCAGGGAGGTTATGTTTTTAGTTTGTGTGTGTTTGTCCGTCTGTCCATCTGTGTAAATTTCTCAATTTGAAGAAAGTAAGATAAAAAGATTCCCTAAAACAATAACGTAAATACTGATCTCCAGAATACTAAGTTGCTGTTTCTCGGAACTCCAAATGTGTACATGCATTTAATACTAGCAAAAAAAATTTATGCTAATAAAAGTTTGAACACACTTACGTGTACATGCCATGGAAGCAGAGTCTCCCTCAGCCCGAAAGTAATTTTTCTCACAGGCACAGTGTAATGACCCCTCATGGTGGGAGAAGCTATGAGGCGGACACTTTGAACACTCCATGTTGCCGTGGGTAGATTTGTAGAAGCCTGCCCTGCACACTGGAAACAAAAGAAGACAGACAAATACGTGAGCATCATGCTGAACCAGCACATCGACTGCTATATAATAGCCTGATTCTTCTTCAGGGCAAGTCCAACAATAGCAAGTGCAAAATGAAAGATGGGGAGTGTTTAATGCAGTTTGTCTGTTATACACCCACACAAAAACACACAAACAAAGTGTGGGAAAATACTATACTGTAAATCTGCAGTTATTGTACCAGCAACCTGCTGAATCCTTGTAAAGCTATGTTTCTCTAAGACATCTCTGTCTCTGTTACATTCTATCTGTTGCTTTCAGATGGCGCAACATGAATAATGTAAATTGTCGCCTTAGATGAAAAGAATCTCTTTAAATATCTGTGGTATTAAATCTGCACTCAGCAGCTCTTTCAACTCCTACTTAACAAAAATATGTTGCAATCCACCCAACTGGGGTGACACTTCACCACCCTGTATTGCATTTTAAATGATGTGTGTGATGGTAGGAGGTAGAAATCAAGGCCTGTGAAATGAGCTCAAATGCTTTCTTTTTTCTGTAATTTTTTCCCCATTTTATTTCATCACTTGCTTGACGTTTCTTTTTTGGGTAAAAAAGAAAGTTCTTCTTTCTAAGAAAAGTCCCTATATAAGTTAACTCCCAGAGCACTATTCTTCTGGAGACCATAAGAGACCAGAGAATCAAACCTTGATAATTAAAGCACATATCACATAACACATGGCAGCATTGATAGGTCAAAAGTTCTTGACAATATGTACTTTGACCAACATGCTTGTTTTCTTGCCCTCTTCTTGTCACACGCATGAACACACCAATACACTCACACACACACTATTAAATAAATGGCAAACAGCAAAAGCAGCAAGCCAGCAGAATGTGTGGGCTCAGCAGAACAGGCCTGACAGATCCCAGTGGTAGACAGCGCAGTTCTGCAAAAGCCAACACTGCTGATATTACTGCCATATCCATCACTGACACCGCCACGCCAAGGTCCCCACGCTGCACTAAATACTCAACAACGCATATATGAGTATGACTGCTTGGCTGCAGACATGCTTTACTGTGTGCAAGATAGTAGAAGGAGAAGTGGGTTTGAATAGTCCTATGTGCTCCGGCAACAAGAAAGCTCGCTGGCACTTAGAGAACAGACCACCCTGCATGGAAAATGTAGTCAGAGATTAAAGCTTAAATCATGCACTCCTGGGTTGTGTCCGAACATCTGCCCTAACTCCTACATAGTGCTCTATCTAGGGGTTATGCCATTTTATATATGTGTGAATGTCTAGTTGAAGAAAAAGTTGTGGACGTAAAATTTCCCACAATGCACCTTCAAAAGTAGTGTGCAACCATTCTCACTTGATGATCAGATAGAGCCGAGAATGCTTTGTAATAGTTCTCTTCGCAAAGCATCATGGGATTTGTTTTGGGGGTGAGAGAGAAAAAAGATGGCATTGGCACCGTGGGGGAAACTGGAGTCAAGTAAGTCAATGGCGAGCAAAAGTAGTGATGATCATTCCAAACAGTTAGTTAACTGAGTTCTCGATAAAGTCTTCTATATATATATAGTCTTCTAGTGCCTGCTCTGTATAGCGAATGGGGGGTTAGTGGTTAGGGCGGACATTTGGATAGTCATGAATCTGGGGTTTGAAAACAAAAGATTGAGAGAGAAGTAACTTTATGTAATCAACATCCATAAGGAACACCTGATAGAACTTGCCAAGACAAAGCATTTCATTCCCCTTCAAGAATTTGCGGAAACTGTCAAAAGCTGTCTAATGGAACCATTAAAACCTTTGGTTTGACTTCAGCTTAATTTATTCACGACTTTTAAATGGGGAATGATATGAAAAGCTTCAATTTTAATAGCTGGAAAAATAAACAAAACATTTCAAACATTAATGACTTAACCATGATATTTCTTTGTAAAAATGTATTATTTTAGTATTTTGCTTTTATCTGTCTATCTTTTAGAACTGTGTTGCTTTCAGGTTGGATGGAGGTTTGAAGAAGACCCAAACACAGAGACGGAAGCTGAAGTGGTTTCTTGCAGATTTACAGTCATATCCAAAAAGTGGCAACCGAAGCAAAAGTCCAAAATACCAAAATACAGAAAAGCAAAATACAAAGAGACATCAGGGAAAACATACACACGGAGCCAAGAGAAGACGAGGAACCTTCAAACAGTAACAGAAGAGGAGGAGTATATATGTCAAACAGACCAAAGACTGGGGTAATGAATTGATTGGGAGCAGGTGTGGGAGCAGACAGAAGGATCTAGAAGGGAGCTAGGGGAAAGGAGACTGAACGAGAAATACATAAGAACTCAAATAAAACCAGAAAACACCACAAAATGGAAATGAAACAACTGCAAACTCAAAAACAAAACATAAACAGATCCAAAAAGTGCAAAACCATAACAATTGTCAACATTGTACATCTCCTCCTTCCAGAAATCTGGTCAACAATTCGGTTTTGGCGCCAAAACTGGATAAAAAGTAAATGAAAACACATGAAAAACACAATTTTAACATGTTTTACTCAATTGAAATTTTTTAAAGAAAAGACAATGATTTTGTCTTCTTATTACCCAAATTGTATAGGAGCTAAACATGTTTTCCTGAACTTTTTTCTCATTTTTAAACACTTGGAAGATGGATTTCCCTCTCTTCTGTCAATAATATTTAGAAAGAGTGGCCCCTTTCGAGAACACCTCCTCTCCTAACACATCACTGCCCTCCTTCAGTGGATATTTCTGTGATACTGTTTTTGTTTTGCAAAATTAGGAAAAAAATGATTGATTCATTTTTTCTTTCTTAGTAGACAATTTCCTGTAAAAGTTCCCAGTCCACAGATCTTTTGTCTCATCAGAATCCCAAGCTTTTCATACTTTATTAGGATTTTACAAAATAAAGTAGAGCATAAATGGAAATAGAAAGAAAATTAAACAAAAATATTTCAGATATATTCTTTTTTAACCTGACTTTACTCCAATAACTTTGAATCAAATCTGATACAGTTGGTTGCCTTTAGAAATTATCCATTTATTAAATTAAGTCCACCTCTGCAAGTCTAGAGATGCAAAATAGATCCTCAGCTCTGTTAAAAAAAATTATTAGTGTGCACCCTACAAGGTTTGGACGATATTGAAGAGGGGCAAGAAGCAAGCAAATAGATTGTGTTGCTCTCTTACCAACATTATAAATAGCAGTCAAGACCTAAATACATCTGAAAATGTATGAAAAGACTTTAAGTTCCTGCCACATTCATGCTTTCAATCCAGTCTGAAAGACCTCAAACTGTTTAATATGTTTCTATGATATTTTTTGCAAAGATTTCTGAAAATGACAATGATTAACTTTTTTTCCAACTTTGCAAGTCGGCTCCTTTTTAATACAATGATACATTTATGAATCTCTGCCTGGACTTAAAATGAATAAGGACATTTCTCAGTTTTATGAGACAGGGAAGAACAATCTGGCTTTGGGAGAAAAGTTTTTATTTTTTCTCTTTCCTTTTTTCCTTTCTGCTGAGCTACTGTCATTAGGAAATAATATATCTAGATTTATAGTTTAATAGACATTCTCCCTCTACATTTATAATACTAACTTCCTAACTGGCAGCACTGAGATAACTGTCCTAAATGCAACACCTTAAGATAAAAATGTTCTGATTTGCTTTTGAATTTAGGAAAATTAAAGTAGGCTTTTAGATAAGTATCAAATCAGAAACAGATATAGCTAAAGAATTGTATGTTTAAAGCTTGTAACCAAAGTCAGAGTATTTTATATGACAGCACTATGATATGTTGCATTTTCTTTACCACAGACCGAAAACTCTTTTAACAACTGTTGGAAATGGATAATATGGCTCTGCTTCCACAAGCCATGTCAGGAAGAGTAAAGACCCTCTCTGACATATGTTGATGGTAAAATCAGACTTTGCTTGCACAAGGTTAACTCTTCATCTTGTGGAAAATCAAGTAACATTAGGGGAACATCACAGTATGAAGGAACTTGAGCTGAGAGTATAATACCATTTGCAGAGGGTTTCTTTTTTACGGTTTTTTGGGGTTGGCCCTGTTCAGTGCAATCTATGATTACTTAAACAATTTTTATTTTTTTTGTCTTTGTTTATGTCCAATTGTCTGGTAAAAAACATTCAAAATACGAGAGCTTTTCTTGTATACTTTCTGCAAAAAACTCTAAGAGGAAAGATAAAGGAGGAATACTATGCAGGGACTGCACCACCACTGTGAGTGTTGGTTTCTTAACACTTGCAGGCAGGTAATAACAGAGTTATCAACTATATAAAACAACACATAACACGATTTCTTCACTTACATGTGCAATATACACACACAGATTTGTACACATGCTGTTGCATTTGTAATATAACAAGGGTTGCAATTTGCTCAATCAATGTCTTGGGTTATAGGACTCCCTTATCAATAATTAACATCACTGTTGGGTGCTTTAGTGGTAACATGAGGTCCCCCTTTCCAAGACATATAAGTAATGACCTAATCCATAGCAATAAACCCCATGATTCACAAAGCGCAATGGGTGTCTAGGTTGCTATTCTTCTTACAGTTCAAATCAGAAGTTTACATACATTCATTTTTATTAAATTATTTAATCTTTTACAGCATTTCAATCATTTCCAAGGTGATTGAAATGATTTAGTTATAGATTATTTTAAAAGCAACAATAGAATGAAATAAAATAAAATAGAACGGAAAAATAATAGAATAGAAATATAGCTATGGTGCCACAGAGGAGAAAAGGGTTTTAAATTTGCAAAATACAATGACGAAAGAAACTCAAAGGCACATATGACATGATATATAATGAAACATTTTAAGTTTAATATTGAAAACAAACAAGTAACATATCTAAGAGAGAAAAAAAGACTATGCTTTTATAAAATCCAAGAGCTAGAATCTGCTACACAATTTTCTCAAATTTTCAACAATATAACATGTGATTTTAGGAGAAGCTGA